CAGGAAAGCTAACAAGATTTACTTTCTTTTGAAGAAAATACAAGTCAACTGGGATACAAGAATCCTAATGGATATAGAAAAAACTATCCAGAAACTAAGAAGACTTGATAAATCCATTAAAAAAGAAATAGCTTTTTTTCGGTTCTAAAAAGAAATTCTAAAGCTATTATTAAAGATTATTGAAATAAAGTATAATCTCAAAATGAAAGTAGGTATGAAGACCTCAAGTTCAATCAAAAACAGATACTGAGCTCAATATTAAATCGCAAAAAACTAAGAATTGCACTATATCAATATTAATCAAGAATTAAGAGGAGATAAAATATATAGCTACTGATTCACAAACTATCAAAAGCAAGGTCGAGAACTATTATAAAAAGCTTTTAAACAAAGAAATGTCAACTTTGAAAGCTTGAATCCTTTTTAAAAAAAAGAATACCAACCTAAAGAGTGAATCAACTCAACATGATATTTATTACTAACTGAGAAAATCAAAATAGAGAGGCATGAAGCTATTTTGTAACACTTTCCAAATAATAAAATAGCTAGTTCCTTATATATCAGTTATAAAATGCTCAAGTACTTAGGTATTAAAGGAAAAGAGGCATTATATTTATTGTTCAACAAAGTTTTAAATACTAGACATATATCTAAAAAATAAAAAAGTAGTAATATCTATTTTATCTTTAAATTCAAGTCTTGAAGATACCAACTGAGCAACATCAAATTCATTGTTTTTCTAGAAACAACTTAGAAATGTTTCACTAAAATTCTCACCAATTATCTATCAAGAATATACAGTATAAATAACACAAAATTCTTAAAGATCCAAACTTTGCTGACTTATTAGAAGAAAGTATAGTAGAAACCATTTATCTACTAAATAGTATATATGAGAAAACTAGAGAAAAAGAAAAAGAACTATAGATTCTTTTTTAAGACACTACTAAGGTATATAACACAATATCCCTCTTTATGCTTAAAAAAGGCATGGATCAGATTCGAATCCCTACAACCATCGCGAAGATTATAATAGATCTTTTTAAAGACTAAAGTTATAACTTTATTTTTTCCAATAGACTTTCTAATCCAATAGTTGCAAGAGATGGTATAGATTAAGGAAAAACAATCTCTCCACTGTTATAAAGAATTTTTTATAATCTGTTGCTATGTAAAATTCAAAATAATACTGATTTGAGTTATACTATAAAAGAAAAATAATTGTTTAACTTTTACAAACCTGAGGAAAAGGTCATGCTCTCTCTAAGGCAGGTAGTGATAGTTTACATAGATGACATAACATGGATTGCCAAATCCAAAAAAGACTTGAAAAGTATTTTGGAAGAAGCAAAAAAGTTTTACATAGCAAATAATTTACAAATTAATATGACAAAGTTAATTCTCTTTATTATTATTCAAAATTCTCAAGATCTTGAAAGGATTCAAGTTGTAATAGAGAATATCATGATTAATAAAATTGATAAGAAAGATCAGACCAGATTTCTTGATATCTAGTTGGGACCAAAACAAAAAAACCAGAATATAATTAGTCTAATAAAATTAGAAATCAAGGTAGTAGTTCAGACAATAGCTAAGAAGAAGTTGACAGAAAAACATGTTCATTATATTATTAATAAAGTGCTAATTCCAGGAATAAAATATAAAATATAATATATTTATCTTAACAAAAAGACATGTGATAAACTTATAACTATGTTTAGAAAGGTTTTCAAGAACAAAGCATTAATTTGTAGAATAATATTAAACAGTTGCATTCATAACAAAGAAATGTATGGTTTCAAAAGTATCTAAGAAATACAATTGAAAAGTCATATATCTGTACTATTCTATCAGCTTAACAATAGTGAGACCTTCAGTATGGTGACTATAACCTGGTTGAAACAAAGTCAGATTAAAAGCTAGAAACTTGAAAATATCTTAGATAATCCTATGAAATCACACAATATAATCAAAGAAAGTCTGGTAGCTATAACATTGGTTCTGGCCAAAGACCTATAAATGACTTTTCAAAGCTAAAGATGGAAGAAAACCTTTAATTATTAGGAAGATATCTTATCTATTAAGTCAATATTGCAAAATAATAAAGAATATGAGAAAGCTATTTTATTACTTCATAAAAATAAGATCATTTTTCTAAATCAAATCATCAATACAATTATAATGATACTCAAGGAATAGAGAGCAATTCAAATTTTTTTTAACAAATACAAAGGCCTAGTTCCCTTTTGCTATAAAAAGATCTGTAAAAAGGTAATAATGAATTATTTTTTTCTAATTAAGTCATTAAACAGACTAAACTAGACAAGCTATAATATCCAAATTGAAGCTTTTTCAGTATATCCAGATAGATAAAAACCATACTAGGCAGACTATTTTAACTTTTCAACTGATATATTAGAAAAGACATTATTCTTAAATAACAAAATCCAGTTTGCTTCATATCAGTTGATATACAATCCTACTAGAAACCATACTTTATTTCAATCAAATAAATTATTTCAAGTAATAGAAATAAGTATATTACAAGTTTATCTTTTTTCACAATTAAATAAACATGAAAATTTGAGAAAAGAAAAACAAGTCTTTCTATTAGACAATCCCACAGATTGACTAACAGCTACAAGGTAACAAGCAATAACTTCATTAATATTTAGATCTAAAGTAGGAATTCAGATAAAAAATTAAGAAGCTATGCTAATAAGATAAGTCATCTGATTAGAAGAATATATAGATGAACTTACAGATATTCTGAAATATAACAGAAAGTATATAACTAATCAGTTTACTTTTTACACAGATGGCTCCTATAAAAAGGAACAAAAGATAGCAAGCTTGAAATGGATTTGACCTGGATTCTAATAAAAGACATCAAAGTTGTAAAACAATTCTCAACAGGAGCGACAACATGATTATCATCAAGTAGAGTAGAAATATTGGCCATCCTAACTATAATATATATAGCTTTCTGAAATACAACTGTCTAAATTTTCTTTGATTGTAATACTATAATTAAGATATAAAAGTCTATCAGTTCACAAGTGGAGATATTAACAAGAAAATAAATAAAGATTACTAATTGATCATTATGAAGTAAAATCAAAAACTTAGTTAAAAAGAAAGATCATATTTTGAAAATTATAAAGATCTAAACTCATGGAATCAATAAGTTCAATAATCAGGTAGATCTACTTATAAAATAAGCTAGCCATGAAAATCCAATAATCTAATATCAACTATTAGAATTAAGAACAATTTTTATAATAGTTATATGCAAAAAGCATACAATAGAGATCAATATTAAAGAATTCATCAAAATATTCAATAAAAAAAAATTGAAAAAAATTGAACAACACAAAAAAGGATTCAAGAACTATGGATTCAAAATAATAAAATCATAAACTGGTTAACCTTTTGGAATCAGTTCAACCTATATAATACCTTTGATATCTTTTTTAAAAATAATAAAGACAAAAGCTTCTTGATTAATCTGACTCATAATGAATTTCTAATACTGTAGGTACTGAAGAAAAAAAAATCAGATATTTATATCAAAATGATCTGTTCAATATACAAACTTCAAGAAAAAATATTAGGACACCTATTTGAATATCTGGCTAATAAAGAAATTAGAGATAATATATAGAGAAAAGCAAAAGAAAAAATTAACTGCTATATCAGTAAAGAAATTAAATACAAAGAAGAAGCTTATTCTGCAATCAATAACTGGATAAACAAATAGTTAAACGAGATTTAGAGATCTGATAAAAGTCTTTCAATACTATTTATAAATATATGGAAGAGAACAAAATCACTTCCTTGAAGAATTACTTTAAAACACAACTCAAAATTCTCTTGACAGTTACATAGAATATAATCAGTAAGGTTTGTTACAAAATGAAAAAAAATTTCAAGAAAGATATATGGAATAGCTATTGTAAAAAAGTAATAAAGTGGAAAAAAAAGTAGAATATTATTAAAAAAAACAAAAGAATCAAAAGATCTGGGCATAGATCTATTATGCAGATCATATAAAAATAAGAAGAAGAATCTATATTTATAAAAGACCTAAGGCAAAAAGTTTTCAAAAAAAAGGAGGAAATGAAGTATATGGAAATCATCAAGAATTGGATTTATCATGAAAGAAAATAGTTTGGTTTTTAACTGCAATTGGAATTTAGAATAATATACAATAATAACCTATAGGCAATAATTTTATTGACTAAAGGATTTATTCAAGTCAGTAAAAGAGTGAAATATCATTCTCTAAGTTGTATCTAAAGAAATAGTTTTTTGACAATAGGTAAGTTAGAATGTGAAAGTCAAATCATTTTGTAAATATCTTTTATATATACAATAAAGACAAGCCATACTAACTTGACTGCGGGTTAAAAAAAAAAAAAAACTTATCACTATCAATATTTTGATTTTAAATTAAATCAAATAATAAATAATAATAAACATTTTTTTTAATTATCATTTCATTATGGAATAGAATTTTCAATTAAAAATATTTCAACTTGAAATATTTAAAATAAATAGTATTAAAATTAATATTTAAAATACTTAATATATATATACTGTATATTATAAAACTGCCATAAAGAGCTTTCAAAAATTATAATTTATTTAAAAAAGAAAAAAGAAAAATTCTATTGAAAAAAAGGAATCACCATACATACCATAGACGCGTAAATAATCATTATCGCTTTTTTTGCTATTGGTTATCCAAGTTTTTTAAAATGTCTGTGGACCAAACGAATCTTTAGTGATCGTCAATTCGATATATAAAGAAAAGATATTATGCACCTACCATTAATCGTAAACTTATAAACTTGTGTCTTATATCTTGCATCTATAAAAATTCGAAAGCATATGTTAGTTTCTGTACAAAAAAAAGTCTTGATGATAAGTGGCATAAAACAATCTTTTTTATAATTCAGATTTTTCTTTGTTCGGTCTCTACGAAAAAGATAGCTCACCATCTCCGGATGGTCTCTTCTCCACTTCGGAAGCATCATCAAGTTGATCCACATCAAAATCTAATTTTTTTCGATATCTTTTTTTAGACTTATTTACTGGACCAGGTAATGATTGGGATGACGACGGCGATGGTAGTGGAGGTGATTCGACGGGTACTTTGATATGAGGTGGTAGCATAGGAATAATGGGTGTCGAAGGAATAACGGACGATTCGGAATAAATAACGGAAGGAGGCGGTGGTACAAGAATAACGGGCGTCAAAGGAATAACGGATGATGGCAATACTGGCATAACGGGTGATGGAGAAATAGCGGATGACGCAGGAATAATAGGTGAACTAGGACTAATGGATGAATATCTTTTGGATTCATTATCTATTATCATTAGATTAAGTTAGCTCTGCTTGTATGTAGAAAAAACCGGTGAAAATTTTAGCTAGCAGCATCACCTTTTGTACTCAAAGACTCCGTATCGGACTCATCCACGTCCGCCATTTCTTGTGAAAACTCATCGGATTTTTTACTTTTTTCCTCATTGTAACATTCTTCATAACTTTCTTCTACGCGACATTCGTCATTTTCTTCTTCGCAAATGTCATCGACACTAAGGTCAAACTGTTTCGTCACATAACCTGTTCAGTCAGTTGCGAGTTTAAGGGACAGTTCATAAGATAAAAAAAGGGAATGAAATTTAGGCATTGTCAAAGGTAGATAAAACGCACTGGATTTTTCTTCCTTAGGAATTTCGGTGATCACATTCGCCAGGTCTCGCGTCACCAATGACATCACGACATTCGCTCCGGTCATTTTTGTTGCATCCCAGTTTTCGCAAATGCTTGTCAGAACTTCAAGGGTACTCACCAACTGCGCAGAGTCCGGTCGATATAGAGGTTGTCCATTCCAACACGCTTCAATGAGATTTTGAATTTCCTTGGGCACATCAACAGAAATTTTAGGTCTCGCGCCTTTGATGATATCTAGTGCCAGATTAATATTATGTTCGTCGTATTCATAATAAGGTGGTTTGGATGACACGACCTCCCACATTATCATACTGAAACTGTAGATATCGGATTTAAAGGTATATTTATTTCCACGAAGCACTTCGGGTGCCATGTACGGTAATACCCCTTCAATCACATTTGAACCTAAACTTTATGAAACACTCGATATTATCATTCTTATTGCACTCACGATATTAACATCTCTTAAAACAGCAATTGAAAATAACCGACCATCAATCAAATTCTCGACAGTGGTGCACAATCCAAAGTCGCAGACGAACACGGAATAGGTGTCGCCATCCACAAGGATATTTTTACAATGAAAATCTCTGTGAACCAAGTTAAGCTGGTGTATTGATCGTAGTGCTCGTGCAAGGCCAAGTAAAATATTTAATTTTTCCTTCCAGGTTTGAGTGATTAAGTGATTACCAAGAAAGCCACGTAGGTCGCCGTGTGTTGCATGCTTGATCACCAGTGCGTAATCCAGGGTTTTGGGGTCTTGAGTTAAACCATAGAATGGTATAATGTTAGAAGAATGCAGCATGCACTCATGATGCACTCTTATCTACAGGAAAATTGAATTTGTGAGCCGACCAAGAAAAAAAAACCCTCCCGAAAACTAAGAATATTGTTTTACCTCATCGATCAATCGCTTACTAATTTCGCAGGAATTTTTCACAAGTTTCAATACGATTTTCTCGGGTATGACTCTTTCTCTCGTGAATTTTTCATTAGGATCACTATACGAGGCTAAAACGATTTTTGCGAACCCTCCTTGGGCCAAGAATTCCATGTCTCTAAATAGTTGAAATGGTATCCATTTGAAGGTATCTGCTGGAGAATTGAAATTTTCGATTAAAGCGTCGATTCGACGATTCTCGCTATTAATTATTTTTTGACCTTTAGTATCATCATTTGACATAAGTAGACAATTGTCAGGAGAATGCTCCATTATAGATATGTGAGTTAAAAAAAAAAGGTGTGTGATGCCGCGAGGTAGTACGTGCGTGTACATTTATGCCGCATATCCGCAGCTGATAATTTGACTTTGAAAAAATTCTTCATCCTTTTATTGATTATTTAATGTTTAAGTCTTAGGCGATACCAATTTCTTTTTTATTCGACTGTAAATAATCACTCGCTAACTATCCAAGGTGAAGTGCGTGTTCTCAAAAACCTTTAAAAAAAAAAAAAAAAAGTTTATTACAGGTTTTGCACCTTCATTTTTTTTTTTTTTTTTTACAAATAAATACTATATACTATTATATAATATCCCGAAATTCAATTTCCTGGAAAAAGAAGAAATAATTTATACATGGCGAACTCTTCCAATTCCTATTGTAAAGGGAATGTCCAGCATTTATAATACAAATAATATTTGCAGGCTTTTCAAAGATCGTATTCATTAAGAATTTGTATGATATCTACATAATATTAAATCGCTTAATAACAGTTAACAACAAACGAGTCAAAACTTGAAAAATTTTTAATAGTTACCGTTGACAGTAAACTCGTAGACTTGAGTCTTATACCTAGGATCTAGAAAATAAAATCGATGGCATGCGCGTAATAAGTTTATGCTTAAAAATTTTCCTTTTTTTTTTTTTTTCTTTGATAACATCTTCCTTACCTTCGGAGTCGACTTGACCGTAAAACAAGTTGGAAGGGTTATGTTCACTACGTCTCCTCATGGTTTTTTCACATTCTTCCAATAGGCTCGGATTAAAGTGAGGTTTGGCTTTGGAAACAACGCCGCCGTAAGAACATCGGTTATCGAATGAAATTTGCCCTAATCTTATTAACAGACGGATGACTTGTCTTCCGGAGACTTCACACAGCCACGAATCCATTGCCAATGCACCAAGCGTGAACAAAAACGTCCAATAAATGACGTATATAATGGATCGGATCGTGCCGAATTCTTCTCTTCGAAGAGATTCAGACATGAAGGTGTGAGTGAACTTCAGAAATGGAAGAATTAGGACACGAGTTAGAAAACGACATTGATTTGTGAAATCATCTAGATCCTCCAGAGATTCGTCTTGGTCTTGCAAGAATCTGTCCTCCAAGTCCAAACATTGGCGATCATCGTCATGCATATTTTCGTTAACCGTATCGTCCGTCATCGTAATTTCATCAAAGAAATTGGTAAGCTCCGTCATGCTTCTATTGAACTCCGACATGCTATACTCAAATAATTCTTGATTTCTACTTTTGGATCGACTACGTGTCCTGTTTCCTCTTTTAAGACCTCTCCCTCTCCCTCTTTCGCACTCTTCCTCTCCGACTTCGCTTGATGAATCATCCTCTTCGTCTTCGTCGGTGAAATCTTCATCTTCGTCGATTATACTCTCTTCTTCGTACTCATCAAGTGCATCATTGATATCCGAAAAATCGAAATCACCCAGTTTGTTTAAGTCGAATTGTTTGAATGAATTTTTCTCACGTCCTCGAACGGGCGTCTCTACTGACACGGTGGCTTCGGTGATCAACGAGTTCATTATGCTAACCATCTTATCCAACATCGGGTCACCGGCATCCGATTCTTCGTCACTGATGGAGTCATGATTATCTGTTATTGGAAGCTCCGATTTCGACAGTAGGTCGGAGGCATGCGATAGTGGAACCGATGTGGGTTCTTGTGGCACTTTTTGTACTTCGAAATCGGAATCTGAGACAGAATTAGCTTGCGACATGTCTATCGTGTTCCCATGGGACAGTGACGGAGCTTCTGACTTCAATGGTAGATCGAACGATTGAGGCACTTGAACAGATATAGGTTCTTGTGGCATTTTTTGTTCTTCGGAGTCAACTTCCGAGCAGGAATCTGATTGTGACATGTCTGTCCCATCAGACAATGATGAAGCCTCTTGAGAGTCCGTCGCGTTCATAGACACATCTTCAGGAACGTATCCTTTCACATCTGCAACATGCCGTTGAGGATTCGTCTTTTTTTCATCATCAACAGGCGCATCCACTTGATATGAGATCAATCCTAATCCCAATGAATAAATAAGCATTAAATTAGATATTATGAAGTGTTCGCAGAAAGTTAAAATGAAATTGCCGTGCTAACCATTATCAATACTATTGACATCGCTTTTCACTATCTCCGCGATTTTCGGGCTTGTAACAGACTTCAGCATAAATATACTATTTCCTTCTGTCGCCGGATCCCTAGTACCGTCGACAGCCTGTTTATATGATCTATTTACGATACTGATGTTTTTTTCATGAATTGACTCTCGATGATTATTCATATTAATGTCATCAATTTGGATTGTTGGGTCCTCCTAAAAAGGTACCAAATTTACAAACATTGATTAATGAGTGACGGGATTAGGATTTATATTATAGTTGCTATTTAGGTTATCAAAAGAAAAAGAAAAAAAAAAAATTTTTTTTTACATCGTCTAGCGCGTCACACTTTGGAATCGAGTCCTCTTGATTTGCGTTATAATCTGCAAAAAAATTTTATACGCTTATAGTTTCGGCATAAACCCACACATCAAGGTAAACAAAATAAGAAGAACTCACCTTCTCCTTCCAACCCTCCTTCTTTCATTTTTCTAGTCACACCTTCAAAATAAAAGTTTTCGTTTTCGCAGTCGTCACACATTCGTAACATATTCTCAAATATCATCAGCAATTGCACAGAATCTGGTCTATCGGCAGGATTACCACTCCAGCATGCATTAATCAAATCTCGGAAGTCTTCGGGAGTTCCATCCGGAATCCTAGGTCTTACTCCTTTAATAATATCTAGCGCAAGCCTGATGTCGTGAACTTGATACTCATAATAAGGCGATTGACCAGATACAAGCTCCCACATTATCATGCTAAAGCTATAGATATCGGTCTTTGGCGAATACTTGCTGCCCAAAAGTATTTCTGGAGCAATGTATGGAAGCACTCCTTCGATTGCATTTAGATCTGTTTTTGGTGCGAATGTTAAAAAATCATTCTGCAATCTTTAAATACTTGACCGGAAGACGAACATCGAGACTCACCAATTTTTGAACTGGAGACGTCCATACACAATCCAAAATCACTGACAAACAATTCATAATCATTACCAAGGTCGTCAACATCGTCCACCAGAATATTTTTACAATGAAAATCTCGATGAACCAGATCTAGCTCGTGAATTTCTTTTAACGTCTTCGCTGTCTTTATTAACATCCTTAATTTTTCGGGCCAAGTCAAGCTTCTCCGAAGGAATTTTCTTAAATCACCGTGCCTGGCATGTTTAAGTACCAACGCGTGGTCGAGTGTTCGCGGATCTTGAGTTAGACCGTATAAAGGGATTACGTTTCGAGAGTGGACCATACATTTGTGATGGGTCCTTATCTAGAAGGGACTCCGGTCGGTCACGTGATATGGGCGACGAGGAATTTCAAAAAAACATTGCGCAAGTAACGTACCTCGTTAATCAACTTCTCATCAATCACCCTAGATTTCTTGATAAATCTCAGCGCAATATGGTCAGGAATTTCTTTTTCACAGTCAGTGGTTGGATGTCGTTCATTCTTTTGATGAAATGCTAAAGCGATCTCCGCAAATTCGCCCTGAGCGAAGCACTCGATTTTTCCGAAATTTTCGAATGGTATCCACCTGAGAGCATCCTGAGGATACTTGGAAATCCTGTAAGATTCCTCGATTAAGGAATCGATTATATGACTTCTTCTCGAGGAGTTTGAAGGAGTTCCGGTTTCTTCGGTAATTGACGGATGCCGTAGTTTAAGCATATCTTTAATATTCTAATTCGGCAATAACCAATTTTGATTGTCTTTTAGAAGAAAATTAGGTATCTTGTTCTACAAAAGAAAAAAAAAAGAAAAAGAAAAAAAAAAAACAAAAGAAAGAGAGAAGAAAAAAAGAAGAAACTGAAAGCGTATTTCTAGTATATAATCAATGCGGGCTAACAGTCATGTGATGAAATTATTTCATCTTTGAGGCAACTACTCAAGTTGTGCTTACAAAAAGTATCAGGACGTGCAATAGCGGTGTGGAATTAATTCCTCGGCCAAAAAAAAATTTGAAATCGAGAAATATGAGAATGGAATGAATAGATATGTAGATAGCCGAAAAAAAAAATGGCGGATATGGTATAGATTTTATTTGTATGCGGTTGCACTGAGATGCAGACGGCGCATTATGTGATGAGGTGGAGTCGGCGTAGTGCTTTTAAGTACAATGTGGTGGGCACGAGGCAATTCTCTCGACACTCCGCTCGGCATTTCATGTCCAGACCTGAACGAAGCCAGACTTTCAGAATTTCCATTCTACAGTTTTACATATGCACGTACACATGCATGCCGCAAAAACAAACATTACATAATGTCGAGTTATGAAAGTTTCAGGTGGTTTCTCAATACCACTTTGGACGGGAGCGTATGGTACGTACGTACGTGCTACGTACAGTACGTGCAACTCAAATTTTGCCATCGCTTCCGTGTGCTCATATATAAAAAAAAACGTTATGTTTCATACGATTTATTTTCCGAATCCTCAAAGTTCTCGGAAAATTCCGACATTTGAAAAAGCGTTAGGGTTATCGATAAACTTGTGATAAAGGTCGTTGATTTTCCTTATTCATGACAAATATGGTATGAAGGCGTGACTGGCGTCGTATAATAATAATTCACGATAATGTCCGTGGTAATTATAACAAACATACATATATGGATGGTGGTTCAAGGATTCCCAAGTATCGCTTCAACAATAATGCAACTAAACGATGCCCAATAGGAATCTGGAGAATTCGGTTTATAAACCTACGTTTATTTGTTTTCGTGAAAATGGATCTTTTATAACATGTTACCCAGGTACAATGTTTACAATTGTCGCCGATCCTTCAAAAGACGATTTCTTTATAATCAGGAAATGGTTCCCTTTTAAAACAGATAGATGCGATGCAAAAAGTTTCGAATTCGAGCAATCCTTAAAAATGAGCGCTACAAAAAAAAAAAAAAACCACCTCATATTTTTAATTAATGAAACGTCTCATTGTTTAAAAGATGATATGTAATTGCAATTCGAAATCCTCTATAGTCCTGTAATTAGTTAGCACGATTTGTTTTGTTCTATCTTATAATTATCACGGTATCATGCCTGTGAATTTTCATAATTATGTATATGTAACGAAATCTATTTATTCAAACTCACGAGCGCATTCAAATAGAATATACTATGTTTACAGTAAAAGGATATTTAAAATATTAATGCTATTGGATATTATAAAATTATTGTTATTTTAACTGGATGCAATTAAATGTTATTATAGTCTAAATATAAAATAAACAAGTACAGATAACTCTCTCTAAATGCACTTCCCTTGGGACCAAGTACAGGCGTGCATTTAGGGGGGTATGCTTTTAGAGAAAAAAAAGTTAATTTTGCCTAAAAAAACCAATTTAAGAAAGAATAGGCTGATATACTTGGATCAACTAAAAGTCAAGAATTCAAGAACTTATCAAGTTGAAAAAATAATATAGCTTATTTAAGAAGAATACAAGTAAAGATTTTATTTTAGATTAATATATAATATTGCAGAAAATTATCATTTCAGAAAAAATTGAAGATTTTATTAGTAAATGAAAATGAAATGGAATACAAAACTATTACTTAATAAAGATAAGTAACAAAAGATTTAAATAATTATTATTAAAAATAATCAATACTGTATAAAGAAAGGGAAGACAATAATAAAGCAAGCTTAATAAAGTACTTGAAATCTGTTTTATTAAAAAAAATATATAAATAAACTATATAGTATACCTTATTTCAATTATAAGAAACTTATTGGAAGAACTCAAAGTTTAAAAATATATTATTTTAAAACAACTTTGAAAAAGATAATTAGATATAAAATAATATTCAAACTCAAATTTTTTTAAAAAAATATTTATTAAAATTAATTAGAAATATTTATTAAAATTAATTAAAAAATTTTTTTAAATACTGTTTCAGTTGAAGATTAAAAGAATGAATTTTTTATTATTTATTTGTGAATTATTTGCCTGATAAAATTGTTTGGTATCTTCTAAAATACATTTTATACCAGCTTTGGATTTGATAATTCAAATAGTATCATCCATATATACTATCACTACTTATTTTAGAAAAAGTTTTTCTTTTAAGTGTAACTTTTGAAAATCTAATATCCATTCTTTTCCCATTATATATCCATAGTTTGAATTTCTTTATATTTTGTATAATAATGGATTATAAAAAATTCTTCAAAGTAAATATGAGATTGTTTTCTCTTGGTCTATTCCATTATCAACTATAATTGAATCTATAAGCTCTGTTGGAATAATTGTTTTGCATTTTCTGTTTTCAAAGAGATTTATAATCAATTGTCTACTAATAACTGAAATACATATTCTATTTATAGATCTTTTTAACATCTTGAGGCTGATCAAATTATATATTTTGACTATATCCTAAAAAAGGATCAATAGTTTCTTTTTTTTTCATCTTCTTTATAGATATTATTTAAAAATTAGATAGATTTAGTTATACTTTTTTCTTATAAGCCAATGAAATTAGATTCTTATAAGATTTTATGCTATTTACATATACTGAAAAGTTTATTGATCAGTATTTTGATGAAGCATTTTTTTATTATCTCTAGTAATATTATAGACCTTGTGTTACTTAGACTATAATTCTATAGTTTTGGCTTGAATATCAGATAGATGTTATTTTTTTTTGTTTCCTTGATATACAATTAACTTTAATTATTTAATTATATATTTGCTTGAAAGTCTTTTTTCCTTGAGGACCCAGGTTGTTAAGTATTTAATAACTAATATATGATAAATTAGGTGTTTTATTTTTAGAAAGGTTTCTGAGTATTGTCTTGATTTCTTCCATTGTGATTTCTTCCTATAAAAGAGAATATCATGTTAAATATATTTAATCTTTTAGTTGATATTTTCTTTTCTATTCAAAACTAAGGCTCTCATAGTTAATATTTAATTATTTGAAAGTTTTTTGGTAATAATCTTCTATCACTTGTTTGATTGTTTGTAGGTTTGTAACTATGTATTTTTCTTTATCTTGGTTTCTAATTTTAATCTGATTTAAGATTATCTTGGGTCTTTTTTAGTTTAAAAAAGAATATAACATTCATTTTTGATTGCTTTTGAGATTTTCACATCTGGTTTCAAGTGCTTTGTTGATCTGGCTCTTGATATATAGACTCTCTTTCTTTTTACAAGTTATTTTTAGTGTGTGTTCAATATTGAAGATATTCTTGAACTATACTTGAACTTCTTCTAAGAACCGAGAAGCTATAAGATTCTAATTCTCTATTTTCTTGCATAAGTAGTAGAGTTTATTGATTGCTTGTGTAAGTTTGTCTCTAGTGTTTGCATTCCAACTATAATAAATCTTTTTTAGCAGGTAATGAACTTTGTAAACCGCTCTATAAGCTTTGTACTCTTATTATTTACTGACAAGTCGAATCTTTTTTTATCTGATATCAAATATATTTATTTTTTTAAGAGTTCTATATGCCCCTTTGATAAGAAAATTTTCAAATTCCTACCATACCTGATTCAGTTTTGTTTGGATCCAGACTGAATTTTCAAAATATGAATATAGTTGATTATATTTTATTATTTTGATTTTAATCCATTATTTGAATTTTTTCTATTGTATTGATATTGAGTTAACAGAATCTGGAATCTTTTTACTTTATATTTTTTTTTGATTTTAATACTATTTATCTTTTAACAAGTTGTTATTTTTAGCCTAATTAAAAGAAGAGTATAATTACTATTTATAATTAACTTCATTGAAATATTCTTAAAATTATTTAAGTTTTTTTACAATAATAATATTGAATTTTTATAAAACTTTTTCTGCTAATTCTTTAATCACATACAAAAAAGATGTTCGCAAGAAGTTTTATACTTCTTTGCTAATAAAGTCTTTATACTTTCATTTAAACAACTTGAAGTTTGTCTTCATATATCTCCTCTACCCTCCCTTACTTGTTTATAAACTCTTTTAAATAAAAACTTGAGCCTTTAGTGGCTTGAAAAAACTCAAGTATGCACTTTCTCTACTAAGGATAAGAAGATTCTAGAAAATAAAAGGACTGGCAAGTGGAGTGTTACCTTACAGAGCTAGAAACAATGAGAAATAGAGGTTTTGTTGACAGGGGAAGACTTATTATCCACTTTCTCACATACTATCTTGTATTCTCTTAAAGTGTCTATTGTTTATCACAGTTTTTTTGAGAAATTTTGCCTATCTCAATTTGTTCCTAAATTTCTGGTAACACAATGTCACCTGGCATCTGATTGGTTGACATGAAATACATTAATAATTGAATATAAACAAGCCCTTATTGGTCATCTCACATGCTTTGATGACATTATTGATAATAGAAAGAGTTAATTGATGCCTTGTGTCTACCTACTTTTCCAATTGGGTTAACCTACAAATCAAGTTCTATAAGGCCAATAAAATATGAGCAACAAATCCTCAGGTGGTAAAAATACTACTATTTGTTTAAGTTGAGATCTTTCTCTTCTATTATCCCGATTAGATAAAGTTCAGAACCAAGGTCTTCCTCTTATCCTGGTTAGGCAATAAGATCAAATGGTATCTAGTTTATACTAAGCTCCAACCTTTTGGTTATAATTGAGAATGCATTTCTCCAGAAGTTGTTAAATTATATCACAATCAATGAGGATCCTCACCATTCTTGAGACCCTCCCACCATTACAAG